ATGGATTAACAATGTGCATTTAGTGAGCAATAAGTTGCACATATTAGTTTCTTACTACGGTAGGTTTTTTATGCTAACTTAATTCTAAATTAAATTCTATATACATTTAAAAACGAACAACAATTAAAAACCTTATATAGATGTTTTGTTTTAATTATTAATTATAGGAGTTTACTCGTTAAGAACGATTGTCTCGGAACAGGTACAGAGAAAAAGACAAGTACTAGATTAAAAAAAAAAACGATATAATATTTAATTAGTTATTAATAAAGTTAGCAATTGTATGGATTTTGATTGATCAGTTAGTGAGCACTTGTTCATTTTTTTCTGCTGTTGCGGTTCTATGCCAACTTTTTTTTTGCTGTTATTAATACGCAACGACTGGTTAAAAAGAATATCCTACGTTTTTTTTTTTTTTTTAATTTATTTTTTATAAATCAATTTTTAAGAGGAAAAAGAATGTAACAGTTATCGAAAGAAATCGTACGAGGAAGGAATATTGTTTAAAATGAAATTTCGAGTATGTTCGTTAACATGTAACACAAGTCCATTAATCATAAATAAATATCTTTTTCTAATAACTATGACGTCAAGAGAAGATTATAGTTAAATGTTTACGTCACTGAAATTATCCTCAATTATGCAGGACCTTGAATTGTGAGATCAAATTTTTATTGTTAATTGTCGACGTTGAATTTAATTTGTCGAGGATATGACGACTGATTTCCATGATTGAAGATATACATGATGGGAATACGTTCTATATCTGTAAACAATAATACATAGTTTGAAATGAATTGAAATTCATTTCAAGATGAGAATTATTAATAATATAAAAATCAAATTGAATGGATGTTAAATTACCTCGCTGCGTGGTAAGCATCAACTTCGACGTATGTGGTATTGTAAAGGGTCATGTGGTCTTTCAAGTTAACAAGAATGTTTTTCACGGGAGACAAACTCATAACTAGAGCAACTGTCTCTCCAGGAAGTTCTCGAACAATAACTAATGCTTCACAATTATAACAATAACTCGTGTAAAGCTTAAGTGCTTTAACTCTCAACGCACCATACTTGAGAGCACGAAATGTGCTTCGCAATTTAATCAAAGATCGATACATCTTATAAAGGGTCGGTTGTGTGCTGTTCTTCTGACTTTCCAAATTAACCCTTTTGTAATTATCATGAACAGGAAGCCAGGTTCGATTGGCATTGCTAAATCCTATCGGTCAATCAATTCGATAAATTTCATTTATATAATATCTTAAAGATAAAATCACACGATATGAGATAATATTTAAGATTTCCGTTGATATTTCCTACCTGCATTTTTACTTTTGTCCCATTGAAATGGTGTACGATTTGGATCTCGAGATAGATTCCGGTACTTGTCCTTTCCGGCATTGCAAGCTTGTGGATCCTGGGTGTCTTCCCAGGATATATCTCTTTTGTCTACCATTCCAATTTCTTCACCGTTGTAAGTTACAGCAACACCAGGCAACAACATTATTAACATATTCAATTGCATAGCCCTGTTTGGGAAACGTGACGCTAATCGACTATTATCGTGATTCCCGAACTATAAATAAAATCATTTTTATTACGAGATAATTTGTTATAAAATCGTTAAATCATAAAAGGATGATATATCATCTTACCACCCAATTGGCAACTCCGTTCTTTGGAGTATGTTCCATCCATTCTTCGATAATTCTTTTAAATTCGGTAGCACTCGACGTGTGATTAACATCAGTGATAAGTTTGAAATTGAATGGTACATGAACACCATATTGATAATATTTCGTAGTATTTTTAATATTAGTATAAGCTTCGGTCATCAATATCTAAAATTATATTTAAGAAATATGATGAAATAATTGCAAATTATTTCTAAAATGTATGAGTTATACCTTTTCATCCTCGTTATTGGCGTTAGCATAATCATCGATAACTTTTCTCCAGTTTTTGATTAAGTCATAAGTTCTAGGATCGTCTTTGGTATAAATGTGATCCAAGTAATCATAATCACGAGTTGTAGTATTTGGAATAAAACTTCTAGGTTCATCGAGGAGACCATCATGTTCGAATAGATTTGGAATGGAGTCCACTCGAAAACCATCAATACCTTTACGAAGCCAAAATCGTATGACTTCCTAGAAATAAACCATAAAAAAACAAAAGGTATGATGAAACGTTTGCAATTGGAAATGCAATTTTCAATGAGAATTCATTTAACTTACTTCCATCTCGGCTCGCACTTGAGGATTACTGTAATTTAAATCTGGTTGTCTGTATTCGAATTGATGTAAATACCATTCCTTCGTAGTTTTATTATACGTCCATGCAGGACCACTGAAAACGCTGATCCAATTGTTAGGTGGAGTTACACCATCATCTTTTCGTCCTTTTTTCCAAATATAATAATCCCTGTATTTTTGATCTCCTGCAAGAGCCTTTTGGAACCATTCGTGTTTATCTGACGTATGATTTGGCACGAGATCGAGAATTAACTAAAAAATATATAAGCAAATAATATCGTGAAAAATATTTCTATTAGGAAACGCGAATTAAGAAGAGTTTGCAATGTTATTAAAAAAGATAAAACAGAAAAATAATATCGTCGTCTTACTCTTAATCCAAGTTGTTTGGATTTATCAATCAATGCTTCGAAATCTTGCATGGTACCATAATCAGGATGTATCGCTTTGAAATCCGATATGTCGTAACCAAAATCTATCATTGGACTCTTATAAATGGGTGAAAGCCATAACCCGTCAACCCCAGCATCGAAAAGATGTTCCAATTTCAAAGTAATACCTGTTTTCAGTTTAAATCATGATTGATGTTAGGTGAGAAAAATGATTGATGTATTTTCAAAAAAAAAACTCTTTCATTAATTCTTACCTTTCAAATCACCGATTCCATCATCGTTGGAATCCATAAAACTTCGTGGATAAATTTGATAAAACACTGCATTCTTCCACCATCCAATATTTTTGATCTCGCCATTGACGAGATTCGTTGCGAACAACAATGAACAATAGTATATCACCCGCAACATGTTTTGCAAATGTAATGCACTACCGGAAAAGAACCTGTATATAAATGTACTCCTGATAGATTAAAGTTTCTGATTAGCTATCGGTTCTCAGTAACTTAATGTAATCAAAACGATCTTATAATATTTTTTAATTAATAAACCGTAGCTTTTTTTGTTTTTCTTAAAAAATTATTGTTAACAATAATTATTGTTTAACCTACTTTTTTAAATAGTTTAAATATAGTACTGAATTCCTTTAAAATATTATATTTTCTTAAAATTCATTTTTCAGAATTATATAAATAATAAGGTACCTAACTTTCATTTTAAAATATTACTTTTGGAATATAACTGTTGTAATTTTTAAAAGTAGTTTTAAAGAACATATTTTGAAGTAACTATAACATCACAATTTGAATTTAAACGAAACAATATATGTACAAGGTTTCATTTATTGTATCAAATTATACATTACACATATAGCAGAATTTATTAAATAATTCAATCACACGAATAATTATATTGAAAAGAAATTAGGGTTTCATATATGAATGTTATAACCTTTTCCGTTGCTTCAAAGTCCAAATCATGCACGTTTATTATACAACTACCATTTGTTTTCAATTAATATTTATCGTTCTGTACGAGTAAAGGAAATAACAAATACTCAAAGAGATTTTATCGATAAGGAATAAGAGAAATAAATATTGATAGATAATTATCAGCAATACGATAGAATTTTTCTTTGTATATTCTCGCTGGATAGTTAAGTTCCTTTTTATTAATACTCGTAATTTTCCTACTATTACAAATTTTTTAAGGAAGATCATTCAATTCGCGATCCTCGTATTTCATCATTTCGTCAAGATCCAATTAAAAATGTTGCATATAAAATGTGATTATAAAATCTAATTGCTAGAAGATAAGACCATTCCTTCCCAAGGTGTAAGATATGCGAAATTGTGAAATTTTTTAAATCTGCGAATGAACAAATAAAATCACAAATGAATTCAATTGTATTGATATTTTAATAGGCTAAATAAGAAAAAGGTATGATTAATTATTGAAATACCTTTTAGTATGATAAGCATCGATCTCAACGTAGGTATTATTATAAAGGGTCATTACATCCTTCAAATTAACACGAGTCGTTATAACTGGTGAGAAACTCATTAATAAAGTAACTGATTCTCCAGGAACTTCTCGAGTGATGGTTAATACTTCGCAATTGTAACAGTAATCCGTGTTTAATTTCAACACATTTACTTTCAATGAACCTTTCTGAAGTGCACGCGATGATTTTCGCAATTTAATCAAATTTTGATACGTTTTATAAGTGGTAGCTTCCGGACTATTCTTCTGACGTTTTAAATTCAATCTCTTGTAATTATTATGAACAGGAAGCCACGTTTTATTAGCTGTACTGAATCCTGTCAATCAAATTGGATAAATTTTGATAATTAATAATATCATAAATATATTATCCTGACATTTAAGATTATCGTTGAAATTTTTACCCGCGTTTTTGCTATTATCCCATTGAAAGGGTGTACGAGTTGGATCGCGAGATGCACCCTGGTACTTGTCCTTTCCAGCATTGCAAGCTTGTGGATCCTGGGTGTCCTCCCATGATATATCCCTTTTGTCTACCATACCAATTTCTTCACCGTAATAAGTTACTGCAACTCCAGGCAAGATCATTGTTAACATATTCAGTTGCATACCCCTTTCTGGGAAACGTGACTCTACACGACTGTTATCGTGATTTCCTAACTAGAAATAAAATGTTCGTATTACGAGATATATATAATTAGTTATACAATCGTTAAATGATAATAGGATATATCATCTTACCACCCAATTGGCAACTCCATCCTTTGGCATATTTGACATCCATCCATCGATAATTCTTTTAAAATCAGCCGCTTTTGAATGACGATTGACATCAGAGATGAAGTAAAAATTGAATGGAATTTGTGCACCATAGTCGTAATATTTGGTAGTATTTTTTAAATTAGTATAAGCTTCGGTCATTACAATCTAAAACATGTTCGCGAGAAATATGATATAAATAATTGACAAAAATGTTTATTATTGATTTTATACCTTTTCATCTACGTTATTGTCATCGGCATAATCATCGAGAACTTTTCTCCAACTTCGTACCATGTCATAATTTCGTGGATCGTCTTTGGTATAAATGTGATCTAAATAACCATAATCACGTGTTGTAGTATTTGGTATAAAGCTTCTGGGTTCATCGCGAAAATCATCTCGTTCGAATAAATGGGGAATTGCATCAACTCGAAAACCATCTACACCTTTGCGAAGCCAAAATACAAGGATTTCCTAGAAATAGAAAAAAAGAATGATATTACGTTTTCAATTGGAAATGCAATTTTTAATTGAGAATTCATTTAACTTACTTCCATCTCCTTTCGCACATCGGGATTGTTAAAGTTTAATTCTGGTTGCCTGTACTCGAATTGATGGAAATACCATTCCTTCAAAGTTTCATTATAAGTCCACGCAGAACCACTAAAAACGCTGACCCAATTGTTGGGTGGTGTTACACCGTCGTTATTTCGTCCTTGTTTCCAAAAGTAATAATCCTTGTATTTTTTCTCACCAGCTAAAGCCTTTTGGAACCACTCGTGTTTGTCGGACGTATGATTTGGTACGAAATCAAGAATTACCTTTGAAAGATAAACGAATTATCGTGTGAATGTATCTATAAAATTAATTTAAAATAACTTACGAGAATATTGAAATGAAAAAAAAAAAAAAATACAAAGAAATTGTCTTACTCTTAATCCAAGTTTCTTTGATTTTTTGATCAGTGCTTCGAAATCTTGCATGGTACCATAATCTGGATGTATTTCTTTGAAATCCGATACGTCGTAACCGAAATCTACCATTGGGCTAGGAAAAATAGGTGAAAGCCATATTCCTTCGATACCAGCGTCAACGAAATGTTCCAATTTCGAAGTAATACCTGTTTAATTAACAAACACCATGATGTTTTGGTTAAACAAATGATTGAAGTATTTTCAGACAAAAAAAAATCTATAATTAATTCTTACCATTCAAATCACCGATTCCATCACCATTGGAATCCATGAAACTTCGTGGATAGATTTGATAGAACACTGCATTCTTCCACCATATTTTATTTTTGATCTCAGCATTAACGAGACCCGTTGCTAGCAACAAGGCACAAAAGTAGACCACGCGGAACATGTTTTGCAACTGTCATGAACTAACGAAGATGGTCTTCCATATAAATATCCTCCTAAAATGTTGAAGTTTCTGATAAGCTATCAACTATCAATAATTTAGAGCTATCAAAATGATCTGATAATTTTTTTTAAGTAATATATAGACCAAATTTTAACAAAATAATATTTCTAACACCTATTTTTATTCATTTCAAAGATTACATTATTTTCTTAAATAGAAAAACTATTTAATCACAAACCTATACATCAATAATTTATTTTATATATTCTAATATGGAAATAAAAAAAAAAAGTAAGAAAGATTTTAATAATATTTTTCGTTTAATCAGACAACGTATCACAAATCTTGATTAAAATAATCTTTATTAAGTTACGTAACAAAACGTATTTATTATGATACGTTTATCTTTGGAATGATGATTAAATACAAGTACCCTACTTCATGGATTAATCGATCATCGTTATAAACGTTAAATTTGTGCAGAGAAGTTTCAAAAAGATAATCATTGTCTTTTTAAACTTATTCTGTATACAAAAAATACAGGAATATGGTAACATATGTTTATTCTAAGAAATTATACGTTATACATATTGCAGAATTTATTAAATAATTTTATCATAAGAATGATAGATACATTTATAAGTGTATACTAAATGAATATTACAACTTTTTTCGCTGCTTCACAGTCCAAACAATGGACGTTTATTACACAACTATCATTTGTTTTCAATTAATTTATCGTTCCGTACAAGCAAAAGAAATATTGAATACTCGAAGAGATTTTATCGATAAAGAATAAGAGAAATAAATATTGATACGATAAAACACAACGGTAGAGTAGATAATTATCAGCAATGCGATAGAATTTTTCTTTCTATTCTCTCGCTGGATAGTTAAGTTCCTTTTTATTTATACTCGTAATTTTCCTACTATTACAAATTTTTAAAGGAAGATCATTCAATTCGCGATCCTCATCATTTCGTCAAGATCCAATTAAAAATGTTGCATATAAAACATCCAATATTGTGATTAAAAAATCTAATTGCTAGAAGATAAGACCATTCCTTCCCAAGGTGTAAGATATGCGAAATTGAGAGATTTTTTAAATCTGCGAATGAACAAATAAAATCACAAATGAATTCAATTGTATTGATATTTTAATAGGCTAAATAAGAAAAAGGTATGATTAATTATTGAAATACCTTTTAGTATGATAAGCATCGATCTCAACGTAGGTATTATTATAAAGGGTCATAACATCCTTCAAATTAACACGAGTCGTTATAACTGGTGAGAAACTCATTAATAAAGTAACTGATTCTCCAGGAACTTCTCGAGTGATGGTTAATACTTCGCAATTGTAACAGTAATCCGTGTTTAGTTTCAACACATTTACTTTCAATGAACCTTTCTGAAGTGCACGCGATGATTTGCGTAATTTAATCAACGATCGATATATTTTGTATAGCGATTGTTCTTTAGAATACTTCTGATTTTCTAAATTCAATCTCTTGTAATTTTCATGGACCGGAATCCACGTTTTATTAGCTTTACTAAATCCTGTCAGTCAATCATTTTAATAAATTTATTTATGTAACTTTTGTAATATCATAAAAATATGATTATGATATTTACAATTTTTACCTGCATTTTTACTATTGTCCCATTGGAAAGGTGTACGTTCTGGATCACGAGATTCATTTCGGTACTTATCCTTTCCTGCATTGCAACCTTGGGGATCCTTTGTATCTTCCCAGGATATATCTCTTTTATCTACCATTCCAATTTCATCACCATAATAAGTTACACCAACTCCTGGCAAGATCATTAGTAACATACTCAGTTGTATAGTCCTATTTGGGAAACGTGACCCGATACGACTGTTATCGTGATTTCCTAACTAGAAATAAAATGCTTGTATTACGAGATATAATTTGTTATACAATCGTTAAATCATAACAGGATATATCATCTTACCACCCAATTGGCAACTCCGTTCTTTGGAGTATGTTCCATCCATTGTTCAATAATTCTTTTAAAATCAGCCGCTTTCGATTGGTGATTGGTATTTGAGATCAATTGAAAATTAAATGGTATTTGAGCACCATACTGATAATATTTCGTAGTATTTTGTAGATTACTATAAGCTTCGGTCATTATCACCTTAAAAACGTGCACAAATATTTGATTAATGATTTTATTACGTTTCAATGTTTGGCTATAGTAGAATGTTGTTTGTCAGACTTTTAAAAAAAAAAAAAAAGAAATAATTCGTGTATTAAAAATGAGAATACACGCCCATAAATGTCGACCTTCGGATAAAGAAAAAGGTAACACTTTAAACGATTACAAATAAGAAAACACACGAAAACTTGTAATTACTAAATAACTATAACATATTACACACGATTACAATTATACAAATACGATACAGAATAAAACTAATTTCAGTTTGAAAGAAGCTAGTCGTCCTATGCCCTCGTTAAAGGGACTGCCCTATTTTCTTTCCTTTCACCTAATTATAGTCTCTTTCATTCGTTTGATTCATCACGAATTAGTAAACCTATTGTTATTTCTTCTGACACATAGACATTTACGCAATCATACAATTAGATATAATTAGAATAATAATTAACAATATTTTCAAAATGTATTGTTACCTTTTCATCCTCGTTATTGGCGTTGGCATAATCATCGAGAACATTTCTCCAATTTTTGACCATGTCATAGGTTCTTTGATCGTCGTTAGTATAAATGTGATTTAAATAACCATAATCTCGAGTTGTAACACCTGGTATAAAACTTCTAGGTTCATCGCGAAGATCATCACGCTCAAAAAGAAAAGGAATGGCATCAACTCGAAAACCATCAATACCTTTACGAAGCCAAAATTGAATAACTTCCTAAAAATAAAACCATAAAATAGAAAAAAGAATGATGAAACGTTTCCAATTGGAAATGCAATTATTAATGAGAATTCATTTAACTTACTTCCATTTCCTTTCGCACTTCAGGATTGTTGTAATTCAAATCTGGTTGTCTGTATTCGAATTGATGGAAATACCATTCGTTCATTGTTTTATCATAAGTCCAAGCTGGACCACTGAATCGACTAATCCAATTATTAGGTGGTGTTACACCATCGTTGTTACGTCCTTTTCTCCAAATATAATAATCCTTGTATTTTTTCACACCAGCCAGAGCTTTTTGGAACCATTCATGTTTATCTGACGTATGATTTGGTACGAAATCAAGAATTACCTTTGAAATATAATAAAATTATCATGAAAGTATCTACATAAAATAGATTTCAAAGATCTTTGAAAACGAAAACAAGAAAAAACAAAGAGAAATTGTCTTACTCTTAATCCAAGTTTTTTCGATTTTGCCAATAATTCTTCAAAATCTTTCATCGTACCAAAATCTGGATGTATTGCTTTGAAATCTGATATGTCGTAACCAAAATCTACCATTGGACTAGCATAAATAGGCGAAAGCCATATTCCATCAACTCCAGCGTCAACGAAATGTCCCAATTTCGAAGTAATACCTGTTTTCAGTTTTAATGTTAAGTGAGAAAAATGATTGATGTATTTTCCGACAAAATCTATAATTAATTCTTACCATTCAAATCACCGATTCCATTATTATCGGAATCCATGAAACTCCTCGGATAAATTTGATAGAACACTGCGTTCTTCCACCATACTTTATTTTTAATCTCGCCATTGACGAGACTTGTTGCGAACAACAATGAACATAAGCAAAGCAAACGTAACATGTTTGCAACTGTGATGCATTACCTCTGCTGAAGAACTTCCTTATAAATATATTCCTAAATTATTGAATTTTCTGATAAGCTATCTGTTATCAATAATTTAACGATATTAAAAAGATCTATAATTATTTGTTAAGTAATATAGCTTAATCTTTTCTTTTGGTTTTGTTTTGTTTTTCTTTTAGATATAATATTGTGAACAATAGTTTTTATTTGTGCTAGAAAAAGATTATCGATTATTTACGAAATTATACGCGATTGGTTTATTATAATTCTAACGGGAATAAACAATAAAAAAAAAAAAAATATGAACACTTTTATAATATCTTTCGTTTGATCGTATGACGTATCGTAAATCTTGATTAAAATAATCTTCAATACATTCCGTAACACAACACGTACTTATTATGATACGTTTTTATCTCTGGAATGATGATTAAATAAAAGTACCCTACTTAACGAGTTAATCGATTATCGTTTAATCGTGAAATTTCTACAAAAGCAATTCAAAATGATAATCATTGTCTTATAGTAACCTAACTTATTCTGTGTATACAAAGCAATTATACTTGTTACATAAAATATATACATATATTATATATTTGCAAGAAAAATTATATATAGATAAGTAATCGAGTACATTTATTAAATGGTAATACAAAAACAAATCTAAATATTGCATAGAAAAGAGTTTATTGAAAATATAATTAAACTATGTAATATTTTAATTAAAATTTTTATTGATGTTTAAGGATAATATAAAAAGAAATATATACATATATATATATATATATCAAACGAATTTTAACTTTATCGTTATCAAATCATAAACCCCGTAGTCGTTCATGCAAAAACCCCATAGGAACAATTATCCTACATAGAGATCGTAAAAGATAAAACATATTTTATATTGATTGAAAACTGTAGCAAAGAATGAGTAAAAACTATTGGGTTTTAAATAACATTAAAATTACATTTGAAAATATAGGAAGAATATGATAAAATATGTTTATTATAACAAATTATACATTATGCATATATTGCAATATTTATTAAATAAAATTCTATCACACGAAAATAATTCTATTTGAAGATTGTAAAAATTCCTACGTGTATACTAGACTTATGTTTTAACTTGTATGACTTGTTGACCTTTTTCACTGCTTCAAAGTCAAAGGCATGCACGTTGATAATACGTGAATTAATACCAATTATTTATTTTCAAATTAATTATCGTTTTTCACGATCAAACGAAGTATTGAATACTCAAAAGAGATTTTATCGATAAGTAACATGCGAAATAAATATTGATTTCGATATTATACCATGGAGAGTCCGATAATAATCAATAATGCGATTGAATTTTTATTTATGTTTGCTGAATTGTCATGTTATACCTTGTATTACTATTTTTCCAGTCTTCCCATTAATACATTTCTAAAAGTTAGATTTATTATTAATTGTTAATCGCAAAATTAATAATGACCACTATGTTTTTCGGGTTTAAATAGAAAACGTTTGCCTTTTAATAATATTTTATTCAAGTTATATCACTAAAGTTACACGCATTATGCAAGAATTTTGCATAATGACATGAAATACTGAAGGTAATTAATTTAATTGCTAGACGATATGACGATTCCTTCCCAAGGAACAATGTATGCGTAGTTGAAATATAATTTATATCTGTAAATGAAAAAATATAATATTTAAAAATCATTCAATTAAATTTGTAACCATTTTCGTTACCCATATAGGGGTTGTCAAAAAAAAAGGATTAACAAATATTATAATAGTCCGAATAAAAAATGATTATTTAATAATTACCTTTCTGTATGATAAGCATCGATTTCAACATACGTATTGTTATAAAGGGTCATTACATCCTTCAAATTAACGCGAGTTGTTACAGCTGGTGAGAAACTCATTAACAGAGTCATTGATTCTCCAGGAAGTTCACGAGTGATAGATAATATTTCGCAATTGTAACAATAATCCGTGTTCAGTTTCAATACTTTTAATTTCAATGAGCCATCCTTAAGAACGCGAGATGTTTTCCGTAATTTAGTCAAAGATCGATACATCTTGTAGAACGATTGTTCGGTAGAATTCTTTTGATTTAATAAATTCAATACTTTATAATTTTCATGAACAGGTAGCCACGTTTTAGAACCTTTGTTGAAACCTATCGATCAATAAATTCGTTTGATTTAATAACGTTCATGAAATTTGTCAATTACAAATGTTACTTTTGCTTTTTGTTTTTTTTTTTGTTTTTCTATTTTTCTTTTACCTGCATTAATAGTATAATCCCATTGGAAAGGTGTACGATTTGGATCGCGAGATCGTTCAACGTATTTGTCTTTACCGGCATTGCAAGCTTGTGGATCTTGCGTGTCTTCCCAGGAAATATCTCTTTTGTCAATCATACCAATTTCTTCACCGTAATAAGTAACGGCAATTCCAGGTAAAATCATTGGTAACATGAGCATTTGATTACCCCTACCTGGATAACGCGAGATCGTACGACTGCGATCGTGATTTCCCAACTATAAATAAAATCATTTCATTATGAAATAATTTGTTATACGATCGTTATTAGATCATTAAAATATATGGGTAATCAACTTACAACCCAATTGGCAACTCCATCCTTTGGCATTTCTCTCATCCATGATTCGATAGTTTCTTTAAATTTGGTAGCATTAGTTGTGTGATTAACATCAGTGATAAGTTTGAAATTGAACGGTATGTGAGCACCGTAATCATAATATTTCGTAGTATTTTTTAAATTGGTATATGCTTCAGTCATCATTACCTAAAACGTTTATATAATATATGAAATCCCAAGTAAGGGACGAAACGTACAACTGGTTCAAAATAAATTGTTCATAAGATTTAACAACCGTCCAAAATTCCCTTTGAGACTAATATTAATAATATTTATTTCTGAACAAGAATATTGATAATTAAATACGATTAATGTTATATCAGGAAGATAATTTATTAAACGTATTCTTACTTTTTCATCCTCGTTATTGGCATTGGCATAATCATCGAGAACTTTTCTCCAGCTTTTAACTAAATCGTAAGTTCTTTGATCGTCTTTGGTATAAATGTGATCTAAATAAGCGTAATCACGTTCCGTTGTAGTTGGATCGAAACTTCTAGGCTCGTCACGAAGATCGTCAACTTCGAATAAATGGGGAACTGCGTCTACTCGAAAACCATCAATACCTTTACGAAGCCAAAATCGTATGACTTCCTAGAAATAAACCCATAAAAAAACAAAAAGTATGATGAAACGTTTACAATTGGAAATGCAATTTTCAATGAGAATTCATTTAACTTACTTCCATCTCGGCTCGTACTTGAGGATTACTGTAATTTAAATCTGGTTGTCTGTATTCGAATTGATGGAAATACCATTCCTTCGTAGTTTTATTATACGTCCATGCAGGACCACTGAAAACGCTGATCCAATTGTTAGGTGGAGTTACACCATCATCTTTTCGTCCTTTTTTCCAAATATAATAATCCCTGTATTTTTGATCTCCTGCAAGAGCCTTTTGGAACCATTCGTGTTTATCTGACGTATGATTTGGCACGAGATCGAGAATTAACTAAAAAAAATATATAAGCAAATAATATCGTGATAAATATTTCTATATGACGGATTAATCCTTTTATTCAAATTTACGAACAATTAAAATGATAGATAGATACCTTTAATCCAAGTTTTTTCGATTTTGCCAATAATTCTTCAAAATCTTTCATCGTACCAAAATCTGGATGTATTGCTTTGAAATCTGATATGTCGTAACCAAAATCTACCATTGGGCTTGCAAAAATAGGCGAAAGCCATATCCCATCAACTCCAGCGTCAACGAAATGTTCCAATTTCGAAGTAATACCTGTTTTCAGTTTTAATGTTAGGTGAGAAAAATGATTGAAGTATTTTCCGACAAAATCTATAATTAATTCTTACCATTCAAATCACCAATTCCATTATTATCGGAATCCATGAAACTCCTCGGATAAATTTGATAGAAAACCGCGTTCTTCCACCATCCTTTATTTTTGATCTCCCCATTGACTAGACTTGTTGCGAACAACAATGAACAAATGCAAACGACGCGCAACATGTTTGCAATTGTGATGCACTATCTAGGAAAAACCCTCATATAAATATACTTCTTAATTAGAAAAATTTACGATACCTTATCGTTTAGTTTGCACTATCAATAAAAAAATTTTTCTTTTTTTTTTGTTTCTTTTTCTTTTTCTTTCATCGATTACGTTTGCATTGTATAAGAGGAATTTTATTGGAAGATAATTATTCCGAGAAAATGTTAGATAAGGAAAATTTATTGTAACATATTTATGTTGGTTTTTCTTTTCTTCTTTTTTTTTTTGTTTTGAATGCAAGTTAAATGCCAAGATATACAACAAACAATTCCTACAAATCTGTAATCGATTTATCAGACCATCTGCAATCTGTTATTATAAGATAACACTTCCTTTAACAATATGTGATAAATACTTACCATTAAACATTTATCTATAACATGACGATTAAATCAGCATACCTTGTTTCATTTAATTTGCAATGTACATTAATGAACGAATAAGATTTCAATTCAATTCGAATATTAAACAATCGGTAATGATTCTAACGAATCGTTATTGCATTGAAATAATTTGACGTATATTTATCCTGTACGATTAAGAGAATCATTAACTCATATAAGTATTATATAGATAGAATATACTTATGTGTGCAAGAAAAATAATGTTAAAATTGAAATCGAATCTGTAACTAATCGAGTATTTTTATTTCTCGGTAGAATTATAGAGAATACAGCGCTAATTATTACACGATTTTGTGGATAATATATATATGTATATATATATATATATATTATCATTATTTTTATATATATATATAGATTATTTTTATTTCGACGTATTTTTTTCTTTTTTTCTTTTGTTTTTTTTTTTTTTTTTT